TATTTCAGCATTTGTTTTGTGCAGCACATGCTCTTCCAGCCGCAACCCAGTACTGGAATACACACTCATCCGCACTCATACACTACAGCCAATTTAGTTAATCTAATTCACCAGTACCGCATGCCTTTGAATGTGGGCACCCGGAGGAAACCCACTTGAACACGGGGAGAACATGCAAACTCCACACAGAAACGCCAACTGGTCCAGCCGGAACTCGAACCAGTGACATTCTTGCTGTGAGGCGACAGTGCTAACCAATGAGCCAATACCAAAGTCTCTGCATTGAAAAATATTAAGCAGGCAAGCGTTTTGTAAATTAATAGAATAAATAATTCTTAAATTAGCCTATTAAAATGATTTCTGAATGTTTGTTATTTCATGTTGATTCACTGTGCATTAGCTAATATTAACAAGCATGAATTTGGATTTTAATAATGAATTAGTATATGTTGAATTATGATTAGGCGATGCCGTGGCACAGAAGGTAGTGCTGTCGCCTTACAGGAAGAAGGGTGCTGGTTCATTCATTCATTCATTCATTTTCTTTTCAGCTTAGTCCCTTTGTAATCTGGGGTCGCCACTGCAGAATGAACCGCCATCTTATCCAGCACATGTTTTACACAGCAGATGCCTTACCAGCTGCAACCCATCTCTGGGAAACATCCATAAACACTTATTCACACTCATACACTACAGACAATTTAGCCTACCTAATTCACCTGTACCGCACATCTTTGAACTGTGGTGGAAACCAGAGCACCTGGAGGAAACCCACGCAAACGCAGGGAGAACATGCAAACTCCACACAGAAACGCCAACTGACCCATCCGAGGCTCGAACCAGCAACCTTCTTGCTGTGAGGCAACAGCACTATATATATAATTATTTTAATAATAATGATAATAACTTATTTTAATACATACTTTAAAAGAAAATATTTCTTATTTTTTTATTTAGTGCATTTAAATACAAAAATAAACTATTAAATAATAGTATAATAAATATTAAATATAAAAGTGCATAAATACTACATTTAATCATGTAACACAGAAGAATATTCAGACTTGCAAGTAAGGAATGAATTTCATTTTAAATAATATATCCGAATGAAAAACAGCAATTTTTTTTAAATTGTAAAATTGCACAATATTATTACATTTAGGTAATTTAAAATGTCTTTTTTTGTTGTTGTTTATGTTTGATCACACCAAATATGAACTAAGTTCTAGTAAAAAAATTCAAATGTGGTCTTTATATGAAAAAGTTGTCACACATGTTTCATTAGTTAGCATTTACTTACTTGACCTAAAATGAACAGCAATTGTACAGATTTTATTAACCATAGTTCAACAATTAAATAATGCATTATTAAATTCTACAGTTGTGTTAGTTTATCACCATGAGTTGACAACGAACTCTATTCCATGAATATTTTCATTAAATAATTTCAACAAAGATGAATAAATGCTGTAATAACTGTATTGTTCATTTTCAGTTAGCACATTAACTAATGGAATCTTGGAACTGAAAAAAGTAATGAAGATGGACGAATAGACGAATTTGTCAATATACAAAAACAAAGCAACTCTAAACCCCTCTTAAAAAAAATAAAAGATCACCAAAACACACCAGCTAACTATACTAGAGAACCATGTGGTTTATACTGTGTGAGAAAATGGTTCACATTAAAGAAATATACACACACACACACACACACACACACACACACACACACACACACACACACGCAGCCGGGCAGGGAGGGGCAGAAATCAAAAGCGCCCTTGTAAAAAAAATTGTCTAACACATTAATGCTCCATTCAAACAGATGGTCCCCATTCACTCGCCGCGCATTGAAACCAGGCGTGGAGGCTCTCATAAAGTTATGAACCAAGAGACACCAGACAAAGGCAAGCTTTCAGGGAGCTTTTGGCTCACGCAGGGAAGAAACAAACATTAATTCTTCCTAAAAAAATGACAGCCATACAGCTCTCTTCATTTTATCACGAACATATGAGCTCAGACAGAAGCTAATAAAATTTTGTCATAAATTTGAAAGAATTTGAGCTCATTTTCTGATAAACTCAGACTTGAAAGTTGACGAGATGCAATTAAAGAGTCACTACGCAATTGTACATTCTCTTTATGGGAATCTATGAATAAATTGGCAGAAAATGAGTGGGTTTTCCCTTAAATGCTTTGATTGGAACGTTTAATCACATTCCACAGATTTATATGAACTGTTTATGTTTTTTTTTTTTTTTTAACCAGACAGAAGGAATAGTTCACTCAAAAAAAGATCATTTACTCACTCTTCACTTGTGCCAAACATTTGAGAATGTCAGAAACAAGTAACCATTGATTTCCATAGTATTTTATTTTCCTACTATGAATGCCAGTGTCTACCAGTTCCAAATATTCTTAAATGATCTTATTTTCTGTTTAATGAAGGAAGAAGAAGAAAGACTCCTGAGTTTGAACAGATTATTTTATTGTTGTTTTAAGGAAAACTACACTAAAGTTTGACTTATCATTTCTGAAATATTTTTTTTTAAATTGTGCTTTTCTAGAAAATGCTTCTTGATTCATCAACTTTTAGATATTTTAACTAGGCTGCACGATATTGGAAAAATCTGTCATTGCAATATTTTGTATTTGTGCGATATTTACTGCCATGTGAATACATCTTTATTAGGAAAGAATTCTTCATTTTAGATTGATCGGGGTGATTTTGTAGGGAATTGGATCTTGAATAACATAGAACAAATAACGAAGAGCTACCTTTTCTGCTAACATTTTTAAAATAGTTTTCAAATAGACTGTATAAGTCATCTAGCAATCATTAGCATATTATTACAGTCTGTTTTGGACCTCTTTTGAGACTAAAACCTTGTAATTTTAACTGTCTGTCTGTTTTGGATCCCGGACGAGCCCCCATTTCTGCTAATGTTTTTTTTTTTTATGGTCTTCCAATAGACATTCTCTTGACTATAAATACATATGCAACTATTATGTCATCTAGCAGTATTAGTACATGGTCTGTTTTGTATCAATGACTTTATTTATTTCTAGTTTTCAGTGTAAAAAATCCTGTTTGCCTTAAAATTTTAAGCTAAATCTAATTAAACTTATGAGTCCATTGAACTCATATTATGCTAAGCTGACTTAAAACAGCTAGCCATGAACTAAAAACATATGCTGTCATGACTAATTGATTATAGAATTTTATAGAGAAATAAAATACAGCAAAGATAAATGTTTATCATAGTTTTTTGGGTAGTCTAACTGTATTCAGATACATATATTAAACAATCAACACTGTATAGTTTTTATTGTATATTATGTAATCTTTATTAAAGTTACCAACACTAAAGTTTCTTTTGGCCGGATGTTTTAAATGTTAAGATTTTCACACAGTTATAGGTTTCAAAGAGATAGTTTACCCAAAAGTTAAAATTTACTCACACTTCACTTGTTTCAAATTTTTATGAGTTATTAAAATGTCTTTTTTTTTGTGGTCAACATACCTGTAAAAAGGAAACTCATAAATGTTTGAAAATAGTGAGTCAATTTTTCTACCATTTTTACTCTATTATAATTCAGCTCTGCATTGATTATGATCTATTATAATAAGTGCTTAATTTGTAAATGAATAATTCCTGGAATAAAACCAAGAAATAAACGTTATCATGACCGACAACCACCAAACAATTTCAGTTTTCCTGGAACATGACGTCATTTAAACGGTGATAGCGCAAAGAGCATCACTTTTAATTTTTTTGTGCCATATAAAGTGCCATAGGTCAGTCTTGGATAATAAAAACATGTACCTAACATAAAATGTATAAACAATCTCTATTCAGTTGATCTCACTATTATGTGCTAAGTGAAAAATAATAATTTAATGACTCAATCAGTCTACCCTTCAAAAAGAGCCCACAGTTACCTTTTATGTCTTGTTTTCTGGCTGACTTAAGATCGTTTTGCTTCTGTCTCCCGCTATCCTGATCTATTCACGCAATTTCATCTTCTCGGGATCTTTTTTTTAACAGGCTCATTATCAGATTTACTTGTGGTTTTAAAAGCTAAAATATGCTTGCCTCTTTAACATTTAGAAAATACAAATATTATTTAGGTAGGCCACTATGTCGTTATTTATTTTCGTTGCTCACTGCGCAAAACAATTTATCACCAACCAATGAGAGTGACTGTGAACATAAGAAAGCTGATTGGCTAAAAATATTGTTGAGGAGCATCATGCGTGTGTGCGCGCAAGTGTAGGTATTTATTACGCACATGTTAATGTTTGATCTATTAAAATAAATACCAGAACGCAAAACACAAATATCTGACATTTTCCAATTAAGCAAAATTAAGCACTGACCATAATCTGAACTCAACATCGAAGATTCTGCGATGTGACTATTGCAGTTGCACACATTGCGATATTGTGCAGTCCTAACTAGAACATAAACAAGACAAAATCTCTAAATAAGTAAAGTGTTTTTTGCAATGAGAGTGAGTAATGATCAGTAAATGTTCATTTTAGGGTGAACTATCCCTTTAAGGCCTTCAGAATGGGTCTTTTCCAACAGTCTGAGCTCTGCAGACAGACATGTGCTACCTAACAAGTGTGTGTGTGTAGTATGGGGAGCAGGTGCAGTGTTTCGCACACAAACACTGTCTAATCCCAGAGTCTAAACTGTGGTCCCTGAGCTCTCGCTGAAAGAATCTTCCATAGAGAAAACAAGCAGCAGGTTTGCTTGTGCAAGTGTTGTGTGTGTATGTGTGTGCGTTCCCTCCAGAGAGCAGAGAGTAGGGCTCCATGGGTGCATTATATCCGCTTTAAAGACAAAAAAACAACCTGTTTTCCTCAAACACAACAATAAAACACTAAACTCTTTTTTGTTATATAGTTACGCATATATATCTATAGTTTAAATTGATTGCAGATTACATCTTGTTCCTTTGTGGGGGAAAAAGAGAAAGGTTGGACTTACAGATTTGGATGATTCTCTGTTGACTTTAGCCTCCATTTCCCATATGTGATGGCCATCTGCAAAAAATAAATTTAAAAAGGAGCGTAAATTTATAGCGGTTTATTAAAAATCACTTCACATATGGTAAAGGATATATCACAGAGGGAGCTTCAATTCAGAAACCCCAAAATATTGTGTACATTTGGTCACACTTTACAATAAGGTTGCATTTATCAATTTATTAATTCATTTTTCTTCAGCTTCATCCCTTTTTTATCAGGGGTCGCCAAAACGGTGTGGACCGCCATCAATTCCAGCTTATGTACGCGGTGGATGCCTTTCCAGCTGCAACCCAGTACTGGGAAATAAGGTTGTATTATGTAATGTTAGTTAATGCATTTTCTAACAAGAACAAATATTGAACAATACATTTATTACAGTTTTTATTCATCTTTGCTAATCTTAGTTAATGAAAATACAGTTGTTCATTGTTAGTTAATGTCAACTCATGGTGCATTAGCTAATGTTAACAAGCATGGATTTGGATTTTAATAATAATATTAACTAATCAAACCTTAGTTTAGAGTGTTTTCGTTTAACAGAATTTAGGGACAAGATATATGCGGGGGGTGGGATAGGGTTAGGGTTAGGGGTAATAATACGGGCTCCAACTGTTTGTCACGATTTGGACTAGTGATGCAGTGATCGATATTCCTAGCTCGATATTCCAAGGTCGATTTGGATGTTTTATGCTGTAAAATTGGCTGATTCAATAGCATCAACTTCCAAATTTTTTCATGTTTTTTTTTTTTTTTTTAGAAACTAGAGAAAAATGGGTATGCGAGCAATTTGTGTGTTAATCACTGGCTGAATCTGGCTCTTAGAAAATTCACTACAAAAAATGCTTTTCTATTGTCTTATTTCTAGTCCAGATATCTACAAATTCTAAAATCAAGAAGCATTTTTTCAGACAAGCAAAAAACATTGTTTTGTTTTCAGAAATAATAAGCAAAAATAAAGTGAATTTTGCCTTAAAAAAGTTAAATAATCTGCCAATGAGTTAAGCAAAGTAAATCTTAGTTTTGCTTTGAAATAAGATTATTTTGCTAACAATTGATTCTTGATTCAAGAACATTTTAAAAAAATATTTATAACATAAACAAGCCAAACTCAAAGAAAAAATATTTTTGCAGTGTGCATTTAGTTGTAATAAATACATGCGTGCATAATAAATTTTTATTTGGTTTAACAAGTTTTCAGCATGTATTGTATACAGTTGAGTCTGAATTATTAGCCCCCTTGTTAATTTTTTTCCCCAATTTCTGTTGAATGGAGAGAAGATTTTTTCAACATATTTCTAAACATAATAGTTTTAATAACTCAATTACAATAACTGATTCACTGCATCTTTGTCATAATGACAGTAAATAATATTTTGCCAGATATTTTTCAGGACACTTCTATACAGCTTAAAGTAACATTTAATTACTTGCTCTGTTAAACATCATTTGGGGAATTCAACGTGAGTTTAATAATTCTGATTTCAACTGTGTGTATTATTTATATTATTATTGAAATAATAATGATAATAACTTCTTTTATATTTTGAATGGAAATACTTTGAAGGAAAATATTTATTATACTACTTTCAATATTCAGCGCATTTAAATACAAAAATTAACTAAAACTATAAAATAAAATAAAATTGACAAACATATAAAAACTAATTCTAATTAAACGTACTATATGAGTCCATTGAACTCATGCTATGTTAAACTTGCTTAAAACAGCTTGCATAACTTATAAAATTAAATTAGAACATGATTAACTTAGTTAAATAAGTTACAATGAACTAAAAACACATGCCGTCAAGACTAATTGATAGGATTTTTTTTACAGTGTAGATAAATAAAACAGCAAAGATAAAAGTTATTTAGGTACAGATATTGAACAATCAACACTGCATAATCTTTATCAGATATAATGTAATATTTATTAAGGTTACAAACATTTATTTTGGCTGTAACTTTTAAGAAATGTAAATTAATTCAAGATAAAAAAAAATAAAAAAAACTACAGCTACTCAATGACCCTAAAATTGTTGAGTTAAGCAACCACTCCAATGCAAAATCCTGATTCCTGAGGCCAAACCAGCCGCACTGTCGTACACAACCACATTAAAGCAGCAGAAATCTCCAAGTGTTTGGAGAGCTATCGCCATACTGCAGTCAGTCTCAAGATTACATCATGTCCTGTCTGCCTCTGACCCGTTTGGGCAGATGGGGGGCTGATGCAATCCTAATGATCTTACCAGAGCCAAGAAGTTTGTGTGTGTGTGTGTGTGTGTGTGTGTGTGTGTGTGTGTGTGTGTGTGTGTGTGTGTGTGTGTGTGTGTGTGTGTGTGTGCGTGACGTGCTTTTGCTATAGGGGACCAGCCGCTTACATCAGCCCCTTGTGGAATCTCGCAACTCATGACAAATAGTGTCTGAAGGGTCCAATAAAAGGCCTGGTAAACTGTGCTTCAGATAATGAGCAGCGGCTGTTTGGCTAAAGAGCGTCACAGACTCTCATCGGTCCCTTCTCTCCATCTCCAATCTCTGCCTTGTTTTCTCCTCATTATAACGAGGGAAAAAAAAAGTTTGATTTAACTATTTTCAGCATTCGGTTTGTCGACGCAAACAGGCTTTCCCACACAAAAAACGTTTGGGAACAAAAGACATATTAAGGTCTCGTTTACTATTTTTAGTTAAGACATCACTGAAAATACGTTTTTACTCAGGCCGTAAAAGCAGGAGAAAACCGCAGGGTAGTTTTGGTCACAGCAGCGCCAACCACAGACGCACACACACCAAAACACAAAGCATCACTGTGTCTAAGCAAGAGCTGAAATTCTTCTCATTTCATGCGGAACAATAGTCAGCGCATCTCTTTAAACTTTCCATTGGCTCGTCCGCTGTCATATATTTTACATAATTGCATATTGCTATCATACATTTCACATTGACGATGCTCCTGGGTTTAAGCAGAATGCGGTGGAAAAGGCTGTATTGGTTTTCCATGATCATTTTCGATGACAAATACGCTCCAGCAGACCCTGAAGACTGTATTCCTAGACATTGAGTGTTTTATTTATGCCGCTGAGAAAGATCAAATGTATTGTTCTCACCTCTGTGAAATATTTATATGAGGTCTCAAGCTTCAAGTCAGACAAATTGCTTGTCGAGTTTCGAGACGGATGACTTTTCGAAGTCTCACGCAATGGATGAGGTGAACGGATGATGTACCGTCAGATTTAGAGGAGCGCTAACAATACTGGGGGAACGTCTGATTGCGTTGAATCTGGCGACCAGGATTGTTTTCCATTAGAGGTTTTGAAAATTCTTCCAGACACATATTATTCAGACTTTAAAGATGGAATGCGGAGACTGTTTTGATTGCGTTTTAGAGGAAAGCTTAGATAGTGGGGTCTAGTTTCGCGGGCAGACAGTGAGGGCATCCCTGGCTAGCCGTGCTGCGGTCTGTGAAGTGGTGGAACGGTCTGTCATTACTGCTGGAAGGTAATGCGATGCTAGAGGGAACCTCCATTCTCACTGTCTCCTTCTCTCTCTATCTCTTTATTCAGATCAATTCCACGAAATTAGCACCACAGAGTCAGCAGGCAATTATAATATGGTTCAAATGATTCCTTCATGCCAAAGTGGCACGTTTATTTAATTTATTTGTCTCTTTTTAGCATTTTTTTGTTTTACTCTTCTAAAGACCTGTACTCTACTTCAAATATTTTTCAGAGCAGAATAGATTGGCCAAGTTGATTGGACATAGTTTTTTTTTAGGGGTTTTCATCTTTATTATGATATAGGACATGGGATTTTAGATAGGAAAGCATTGGGAGCAGAGAGAGGATGGATCAGCAAAGGACCTTAAGCTGGGAATCGAACTCTGGTTTCTGTGAGTACTTCTGTGCAATATGTCAAACACAGGCTCATTCTAAAACCATAGTCCTGTGGAAGTTTCTAGAGACCGTGAGTAGCCGGAGGTACGTATGGCTGCATTTCATTATTTTAAGTGAAAGCTACAAGGCGGTATGATGCCATTCCTTTTGTTGCTTACCAGCTAACCGTTTACCTCTATATGGAGGGCTTTCCCACTGCAACCAGTTTGTCCAGTTAGCTCGTTGTGTACATTGGCAGACCTGTGACGCAGAGAAGAGTTGACCAAGATGACGACCGAGTTTGAGTCCAGGGAAGAGCAGTTCCAGAAATCAGGTAAGACAAAACAGAATCCAAAATATAAAACGAGCGAGTGAACAACAGATTGAGAATGTGGTAAAATCCGAGAGCTTTAGTTTTTCTGGATGGCTTTTGTAAACAGGCGGTTGGGTTTAGGGAAGTACTGTAAGTGGGTGGGCAGGTCAATCTGTAAAATTGGTTAGGTTTAGGGACAGAAGAGGGTGGGTCAGTCGATTAACCAGTCAATCATTCAGTCATTCATTCGGTCTACATCAGCCTCTGGTGGGTTTAAGCGAGAACAGCGTGGACACGAACAGTACTCATGAGAGACATTTGAGATAGAAAAAAGTGCACACAGCAGCCTCTTGTGGATTCGCGAAAACAAAAACTGAAAAAATTCGTAACTCCCGGGACATATTTTGCAGTCTCCAGAAACATCCACGGGACTATGTTTTCAGAATAAGCCTGGGTTGTAAATGTCGGTGCAGTCGGCTTGACAATGTTTGCACAACAGACTGTGACTGGCTCTAATGATCACCGTTTTAGGAGAGTGCTTACGCAGCCACTGGATTGTTTGAAAGCAGCATCTATTAACTGATCCGTCAATGTATTGACACAGCATTCAAATGCTGACAGACAAATCTTTCAAACAAGCTCGAGGACGTTTCTGTCCTTTTAAAGTAGATATGCTTGTGTCTAATTTAAAAATAAATACTCTTAAAATATAAAACTTGTGCATTTCCTCATGTTTTACATCAAATGTTTAGTCAAAGCCACTGTGGGCTACTGTTGTTGTTTTGGATGTTGTTCCTTTGACTGAGCCATATGGAATGAGAAATTTATTGTCT